CCTTAGCATGGTTAGATGTGTAGAAAAATACTTAAATTTTTAAAGTAAGAAAGTCTACTACTCATTTCAGAACTATGTATATATAGGTAAGAAATATTTGAAAGTTGAAATTATTCTTCAAAAATATTAGCAGCCTAGGGGACTGAAGGGTCCCGGGTTTGATTCCTTGGTATGTACCTTGGTTGCGGGCATATCCCCAGTAGGAGGTGTGCAGAGGGCAGCTGATCGATGACTCTCTCATAGATGTTTCTAACTCTCTAGCTCTCTCCCTTCCTCTCTGTACAAAATCAATAAAATATATATTAAAAAATATTAGCAGTATCTTTCTCAGATGAGATTGATTTATCATTTCTTCTTTTTGCTTTTCTATACTTACTATATGTCTACCCTAAAACACTTTCCTTTTATAAATAATTTTAATAAATAATTTCTCCATATGATGTCAGTTTTACAGTTTGAAACTTAGAGATCAAGTGATTCTATGACTAACGTATACTCTGCATAGATACAGTATATACTCTATAACCCATACTCCCCTTCAAAGCCCCTGGTACTGCACACATCAAACTCCTTATTTATCTTTCTATCCTTTCAACAACTACCCTGTTTCCCCAAAAATAAGACAGTGTCTTATATTAATTTTTGCTCCCAAAGATGCGCTAGGTCTTATTTTCAGGGGATGTCTTATTTTTCCATGAAGAAGAATACAGTACACATTTATTGTTAAATAAAATGAAGGAAATTTATTACCTGTATACGGAACAGTAGTACGGTAGTTGTCAACACAAACCAGATAAACTGTGAATCCTACAGTATCAAGAATTTACTCATTTATTCAATGACAATCATGTCATCATCTTCTGGAACATCATCATAACAATCCAATTCCTGAATTTCCTGGTGAATTTCTTGTGACTCCATTTCTTTCAGAATCAGTGGACCAAATCTCTCATGTTTAGCAATAGCACTGTCTTTAAATGAGTACTTCTTGTCAAGGTAGCCTGCTCACAGTGCATTTGCAATGCAACTGTCAGTGATTTTCTCCCATGAATTCTTCACCCAAGTCACAACTTCTTGCAGTTTAGGTTTCACAAACTTTCCATGCTGATTTCTCTCAATTCTATTTTCAACGTAGTCATTAATTTCCATGTGCAAATTGTCTTTGAATGGCTTGTTTATTGCAATATCAAGAGTCTGGAGATAGGCTGTCATTCCTTTAGGAATCATTTCTGATCTATTTTTCTTTCGTGAAGAAATGTCTTCATGTCTTTAGCATGGTGAGTGCTGGCTGCATCACAGACTAGCAGACCTCTTTGGCTCCTTCGCATAACAAGCGGCAGCATTAAATCGACCCACTTACTTATAACTGCTTGTGTGGCCCAGGCTTTTTCAGTTTCAAGAATAAAAACGTCCAAAACACGTTCAATCTTTTCCTTCTTGCCCTTAGAAATGATTAAAGGTGGGATTTTAGTGCCATCCAGACGAATTGCCAAGAAACAGGAAACACGTGCACTTTCATAAGCAGTGGAGGGAATGTACACTAAGGAGGCATCCCGCTGTTCAATTGTTGTTTGAGATGATTGGCCCATAAACACTGCAGTTTCTTTCTTTTCTTTTTTTTTAATATATTTTTATTGATTTTTCACAGAGGGGAAGAGAGAGGGATAGAGAGTTAGAAACATCGATGCAAGAGAATCATCGATCAGCTGCCTCTTGCACACCCCCTACTGGGGATGTACCTGCAACCAAGGTACATGCCCTTGACCGGAATCGAACCCGGGACACCTTTCAGTCCGCAGGCCGACGCTCTATCCACTGAGCCAAACCGGTCCCGGCAACACTGCAGTTTCATCCATAGCAATCATGTTGGAAAGATTGTATTTAGAGAAGTCAGCATCATCAATAAAGGACTTGAATGCAAGTGCTCACTTAATAACTTGAGTATCTTCCAACCTAAACAATGTTGTAGATCTTCTTAAAGACAGTTCACTTCGCTGAAGGAAATTATCCAGCCAGTGTTGTGATGCTTTGAAGTCTTCGGGGGCTATGTCAAACTGTGGTGCCATTGCAAGGGCAAATTCTTGAATCTGAGCCCTATTCACAACCAAAGCCTTTGCTCTCCTGTCAATAACCTATTCACAGATCAGGTCTTTCAGCTAGGAAAATAATGGTTGCAGACCTGATCCACACTTGCGCTTTTTAGCATTTCCCTTGTCCACTTGTTCAATGAGGTTACTATACTCTCCTTGCCATTTTCGGACCAATCAGATACTCAACATCTTCTCTTTGCAAAAAGCAGTAAGATTTTGGCCCCAAGAGTCTTCCACGATTCCTTTCTTGTACTCAACAGAGTAGCTTTTTCTTTTTGCACTCATTTCTAGGGGTAAAAAAAAGGAATTGGGGTATCAAGATGGGGGGAGGGAGGTCACTTAAAATGACACAGGGGGGATCAGAAGGGGGAATCAAAATGGCACAGGAGAATCAGAGGAGGGATTACCATTTTAGTAATCCCTTTTGATCCTCCTGTGTCATTTTGATTGCCCCCTTTGATCCTCCTGTATCATTTTAAGTGATCCCTCTCCCCTCACCCCTGTGCCATTGAACACCTTCACCAGACATGCCCCCTACCCCTTTATCAGACATTTACCCTGGGGCCTGCCTGGGGACTGTCACTGGGCTTGCTGGGGCCTGGATCTGGGCTGGAGCAGGGTCTGCCACTGACTGAGAACCTTCAGTCATCATGAGGGCGGCCTCAAGCATCATGTAGTGTCACCAGAGACAGACCAGCACTCACCATTTTCACTGCATCCCGTCTGCTCTAATCCTCCTGTTCTTCTACACGCATCTGCGAAAGTCTCCTCCTCTCTTCCGCCCTGCACTCATCGCTCACTCTGACCTCCGCTCCACCTCCCTACAGCAGTGATGTCAGGACGCCACATAACGTCACTGGTTGCTAGACACCGGTCGGGGCGGCCCTAGCAACCAGTTTATGGTAAATTAATTTTCATTCTGAGACAGAGTCTGATGGGGCCTTATTTTCAGGGGGATGCCTTATATTTCACTCAGAAGGAAACCTGTGTAAGTAGGTCTTATTTTCAGAGGATGTTTTATTTTCGGGGAAACACGGTATTACAGTGCTCAACATACACAAAGTAGAAATATATTACATCAAGATGTTCAAGAATGCACTTCTGGGATAAAATGTGACTGTCCTCTATTATATTTAACTAGAGGTCCAGTGCCCAAAATTCGTGCACTCATTGGGAGGTAGGAGGCGTCCCTCAGACTGGCCTGTACCCTCTCGCAGTCCAGGAGCCCTTAATGCAGTGGTTCTCCACCTTTCAATGCCGCGACCCTTTAATACAGTTCCTCATGTTGTGGTGACCCCCCAACCATAAAATTATTTTTGTTGCTACTTCATAACTGTAATTTTACTACTGTTATGAATAGTAATGTAAGTATCTGTATTTTCTGATGATCTTAGGCGACCTAGCTAGCGGTTTTCAACCTGTGGGTTGCGACTTTCCTTTTATAAATAATTTTAATAAATAATTTCTCCATATGATGTCAGTTTTAGTTTGGAACTTAGAGACCCACAGGTTGAGAACCACTGCTCTGTAGAGCCTAAGACCATCGGAAAACACATATATTTACATTACGATTCATAACATTAGCAAAATTATAGTTATGAAGTAGCAATGAAAACAATTTTATGGTTGGAGGTCACCACAACACAAGGAACTGTATTAAAGGGTAGCAGCATCAGAAAGGTTGAGAACCACTGCCTTCGGAGACATCCAACTAAGCCAGAAGTCAGACATCCTTAGCACTGCCACAGAGGCAGGAGCGACTCTCACCGCCACCACTGTACTCGCCAGCCATCAGCCTGACTTCTGGCTGAGCAGGGCTTCCCTGTGGGAGTGCACTGACTAACAGGGATCAGCTCCGGCATTCAGTATCTGCCCCCTGGTGGTCAGTGCACATCATACCCACTGGTTGTTTGTTGTCTCTCTGTTATCCCCCTAGGGGTCCTGGATTGCAAGAGGGTGCAGGTCAGACTGAGGAACTCCACTGGTGCATGATCGGTGCTGGGGAGGAATGCAGGAGGTTGGCCAACTGGGGAGAAACTGCAGAAAGGCTCCAGGGTGTTTCCGGCCCATCTAACTCAGTCCCAATCAGCTGGCCCCCAGCAGCAAGCTAACCTACCAGTTGGAGCATCATAGGACTGGTCGACCAGTCTACTGTCTGTCCCCTGGTGGTCAGTGCACATCACAGCAAGCAGTTGAGCAACCTTTAACATATCATTAGCATATTACACTTTGATTGGTTGAACAACCGACCAGACACTTAGTATACTAGGCTTTATTATATAAGATTAATACGTTAAGCACCATGATAATCACTGGTGACTGATACTATACTTTCAGTCCAGAAGACAAAACAGGCTGGGCACTTAACGTGTTAATCACCACAATCAAGGAATTCTTTAAATTACAAAGTACAGAATGAATAAAACAGTGACTTTCAAACAGAAGTCTCTTTAAATAAAATATTTTTTTGAATCCCAATATGTAAAAACAGAGTCATCTTAGTGGAGACAGAAGCTAATCCTGTCCACTCAGCCCTCTTCTTTGCTTCCCACAGATTGCTGGAAGTTTGAAAATTATAATTCAATCCACTCAACTGGCCCCACGTGCTGTGTCGGAGCTAGAAGAGAAAGCAAAAACACATTTGATCTAGTATTTATTTATTTAGCTTTTTTTGGTGACTATAAATTACAATCACTAGGACACTTGTAATTCATTATAGTGTGTTCAACTAAAGAACGAGCAAACATATCACAGGCCAGTTTAAAAGAAATCACAGTACTTCTTGGTGTAATTTGCAAAAGGGGGAAAAGTCCTGGGCCCACACCGTGGAAATAAATATCACGTAACCATGAAAATATTCAGCCATTTTCCAGGTATCAGGGAGGTTCGTGCATGGTCCCAGGCAGAGAATCAGAGTTCCTCTTTGAAATATCCCAGCTTTGCCAGTGACATCTCTTTTCTCAACTGCATAACCTCCCAAAACATGTGGTCAACTATACAAACAAAAGAGAGATACATAAATTATAAAATACCATCTTAATTATTTTTAATTTGTTTCAATGAAAATTTAAGATTAACTCAAATGCCAGTTGGCATGTCCTAATGACATACCTAATTGCCTAGACATTCCATCACTGTTTCACACTAACTTCTTCACATACTTGTGAGCATCCCAATTTTATTAATAAGTAAGCAGTACTCACCAGTTTATCACTTTTTATTAAATAAATCAGTGACTGTCACACTTTAGCCCACCAGAATGTATGCATTTCACTGTCCTGAATAAATGGCAATGCTGTTGCCTTCATAAGTAATTACACTCAGTGCTCAGTTATGCAAGAGTTACCTAACTTCTAGATCTTCTTACTCTAGTTTGCTACATCTTGGTCATTTCACTTTTCATTAATACTACCAGAGAGTGAAAAAGAAAACAAGAGACAGTCCAGAGAATTCAGTATCATTCTTTGTGAATAATAGGGAAAAATTTTATATATGGCTCAAATTAGAAATAAAAACAAATGTAGAGGATAATCTATAAATTTCCATTAGCTCTACTTGTGTGAGCCCTTCTGTAAGTAGAAAAAAAGATGGCTCTATATTTCAGACTATAAAATCTGACATATGATCAGATTAGACTGATTTAGGGCAGTGGTTCTCAACCAGGGGAGATTTAATCCCCAGGGATTCATTTGGCAATGTCTGGAGACACTTTTCATTGATGACGTCTAGTGAGTCAAGCCGAGGGACACTGTTAAAACATCCAACAATGTACAAGATCATCTCCCACAAGGACTTACCCAGTTCAAAATGTTAACAGTGCAAGGGCTGAGAAACGCTGATTTCGCTTTAACTGCTCTAAATTCTTTCTGGCACAGGCACAGATAATAAACAGATTTTCACATTAATATTTATTTACTACAAACCCACACAGTATATGATGTGCATCCAATACTGTCAAGTAGAAGAGTGATGGGAACCAGAGAAGAAACTACTTTTATCACCATCACTTATGATTCTATTTACAGAAAGTAAATTATCTTTCAGCCTTCCCTACAAAAACATTTCTCATTTTAACAAGGAGAAAAAATTTGCTTGACATCTGAACATAACATAAATCCTCTGTTCTCCAGCTCAAGTCATATTATCTACCAAAGGGATTCAAAAAGACTTCAATTTTATTTAAGTCATAAAAAGTATTGCTCAGCTTAAAGACTATGCTACACAGCCTTTTGAAATTTAACAGACAGGTTTCCACCTTTATTCTTTTAGGCATTAAAATCTAATTGTATAGGATTCTAACTAAATATGACTGAGTATACCAGAGCTTGAGAAATGCTAAACTACTTTATTATGGGCATGACTAATTTTTCCAGAGAATTAAGATTTACTGGTTTACCTAATAAATATAGAAGGCTTCTTATTAGTTTTCAAGTGTAAAAATATTTTCAGTGTCTAAAAATATAGTATATAAACAGACATTTTCCCACAACTTCATATACAAAACTGGCATGGCCTTGCCCTTGCCAGGTGTGTGACTCCTGGTCTAAAGCAATCATGTGTACCTGTGAAGCGCTGCTTTAAAGCTGTCAGGCGCATTTGTTTTTGTGCTGGTATGTAAGACATTGGGCTGTAAAACCATCGTTAACCATGAAAGGCCCGAAAACACTTGCATGAAGGTGGCTCTCCTGGATAGATCATCTGCCTGTTTCTGCTCATTTAGAACATAGCAATCTTTATTCCATTCAGAATTATCCTCATGACTGCTTTATTAACGTGAAAATACAGGACAAAATTGCTAGCTCCTCATAGTTTTTACCAATTAAAATGAATCTGACCATGTCAAGAGCTTCCTCATTTTTCTCTCTTAAGAAGTAAATTCAATGTTGTACTCCTCTCACAGTTACTAGCTGACTTATATATGTCTTAAAAGTTAAAACTGGGCCTGCTTTAAAACTCAAAATTAGAGTAAAATGAAACAAATATAAGGATTAAACACAATGTGTTTTAAAAGAGACATTTGTTCCCAAATTCTCTACACACTTTATTAGAACTATAAAATAGACTCAATATAAATATACCAATAATAAAGTTTATTTGAGCTTTATTACTGTGTCCTATACTTTTTACTGAACTGTTATATAAATATTTCATAACTAGAGGAGATCCAAGATGGCTGCTCGGGTAGACATCTAGCCGCGGCAGCACACAACAATTTCAATGGAATACAACTAAAATGTAGAGTGGACATTGCCCAGAGCTACAGGTAGTCGACTGACTGAAAATTCTACAACAAGAAGGAAAGAGAAAACCAGAAGGAAAATCAGAGGAGCTGAAAAAAAGCCTAAGGTACAGAGACATGCTGCGCGCCTGCCCGCACGCGCGCACGGAGAGGTCGCAGCCGGAGAGGAGGAAAGGGCTGGGTGCTGCCTGGCGTTCCCTAGCAGGAAGGAAATAAAACCCCCAGCGTGGGCTGAACCCCCGAACCGGCAGCGCTGAGCCCCCCGAACCGGCAGCGCTGAGCCCCAGTTATGGGCCAGACCCTGGGGACCCAAGCTCCGGCAGGGGGAGACGGGGCTGTGAGGCGGAATCCCAGAAGAGCAGCGAAAAGCAGGGCCCCTGAAGTTGCGCGCAATGCGCGCGCAGAGGACTGAATGTTGACTCTGATGCTGGGTTACCCTAGCCGGAAGAAACAAGGCCTCCAACGGTGCTGAGCCTCAGTCCGGACTGCTCCGAACCCCAGTTCTGGGCCAATCCCTGGGGACCCAGGCTCAGGCAGAGGGAGACGGGGCTGTGAGGTGGAGTCCGGGGAGAAAGGCGAAAGGCCGGGCCCCCGGACTCGCGCACACTGCGCGCAGAGGACAGTCTGTTGACTCTGATGCTGGACTCCCCTAGCGGGAAGGAGAAAAAAAGCTCCGGGCTGAGGGAACGCGGCTGGGAGCAGGAGCCTCTGCCGGACGCCAACCGGGCACCGGCAAGGAGCCGGGCGACGGGGCCCCTGGGGGGGTGGGTGCCCCTGAGCCTTCGACCGCTGAGCACGGGCAATGGAGCCAAGGCCAGGGGCTGCTTTCTGGGCAGCGCCGTCCCCGGCAACAGACTGAAGCAGCGCAGGAGCCCGCGGAGAACAAAGGGGTGCCACAGGCCAACCTGCTGAGCTCCTAGGACAAGGAGGAAGAAACCAAAGAAGTTCTCAATGTGAAGAAATCAAGTGAGAGCAAAACATAGTAAAATTACTTAAGAAATAATACAAAGAAGTTCTTGAAAAGTCAAAGACTAAGTCAGAACTCAACTCACCAGCCAACATTGCAACATAAATGCGTTTTTTAAAAAAAGGACAGAATGTTGGAACAGCGGCGGCCAGGCCTAGAGTGGCCAGGCACAAGACAGTGGCAGCCAGGCCCAGAGCAGCAACGGCCAGGCCCCAGAGCAGCAGCAGCCTGCACTGGAGCAGCCAGACCTGGGGCAGTGGCAGCCAGGCCTGAGGCGGAGGCAGCCAAGCCCAGGGTGGCCAGTCCAGGAACACCCAGACCCGGACGGAGTGGCCAGGCCCGGAGAAGCTGGGCCCAGAGCAGCCGGGGTGGGAGCAGCCAGACCCAGAACAGCAGTAGCCAAGCCCAGAGCATCCAGGTTGGGAGTGGCCAGGCTCGGAGTGGCCGGGCCTGGGACAGCCGGGCCCAGAGCATCCGGGTCGGGTGAGGCCAGGCCCGGAGCAGCGGCTGCCAGGCTGGGAGCGGCCAGGCCCGGGGGAGCAGCCGGGTCGGGTGTGGCCAGGCCCGGAGCAGCAGCTGCCAGGCTGGGAGCGGCCAGGCCCGGAGCAGCGGGTCGGGTGCGGCCAGGCCCGGAGCAGCGGCTGCCAGGCTGGGAGCGGCCAGGCCCGGGGGAGCAGCCGGGTCGGGTGCGGCCAGGCCCGGAGCAGCGGCTGCCAGACTGGGAGCAGCCAGGCCCGGAGCAGCAGCAGCCAAGTCCAGAGCAACTAAGTTGGGAGCGGCAGTGACCAGACCCGGAGCAGCTGGTTGTGGAACGAACCAGAGCAACAGAGGCCAGGCCATGAGCAGCCAGGCCCGGAACAGCTTGCTCCTTGCCTGCCCCTGCCCCAAGGCTGCCTCTCAGACATGGCTGGAAACTTTCGTGGGAACTTGAGGGTCTGCTGAATCAAGTGATGAAGGCTTAGATCTGGATGTGTTGAGTTAATATAGGGCTGGGGTGTTGATCTGTGAGTGCCTTGGGTGGGGCCTGGATGAGGCTAGTTGATCTATTGGGAAATGTCTTTTGTATGAAGTGTATCATTGGGCATGTGGAGGTATTATTGATATGAGAAAATGCTAAGTAACTGATTTACTATCTGGAAAGGGATTTACTATCTGGGAAAGGGAGGGAAGAAGAGACTGAACATAAACTGTGCACCTATGGATGAGGACAATGGGGGATGGGGATGGGGTGGAGGGTGGGGTGGGAACCTGGTGGAGGGGGGAAGAAATGAGGAACCTTTGTAATAATATGAACAATTAAAGATTGATTAAATAATAATAATAATAATAAATAAATAAATATTTCATAACTAGAGGCCCAGTGCATGGGGGAAGGGAAGCACTGTCCCTCAGCCCAGGCTGCACACTCTCGCAATCTGGGACTGCTGGCTCCTAACCACTCTGCCTGCCTGCCTGATCACCCCTAACCACTTGCCTGCCTGCCTGATCACCCCTAATCACTCTGCCTGGCCGCCTGATTGCCCCAATCACTCTGCCTGCCTGCCTGACACTCCCTTAACTGTTCGCCTGCCTGATTGCCCCTAACCACCTGCCTGCCTGATCACCCCTAACTGCTCATCTGTCTGCCTGATCTCCCCTAACTGCTCATCTGCCTGCCTGATCTCCCCTAACCGCCTCTGCCTCAGCACTGCCATTATGGCTTTATCCGGAAGGGTGTCCAGAATGCCGTTTGGCTGTCCAGACTAATTAGCATATTATGCTTTTATAATTATAGATTATTATAGATGAATAAAGAACTTACCATCCTGCTGTTTCACAAGTCCCTGCTGAATATATCGAATGTATGTAAAAAAGTTACACACAGATGTGATCTAGACCAAAAGGAGAAAATGTCATAAATATAAAATGTCTCATATCAGTGAGCTTTATTAAAATTCATTATTACATTACTTACCCTGTATCTACAAAAAGGAGAAATATAATAATAGTTGCTTGAATCTCCTAGTTTAATTCTGTGTTTACAAGATTTACTCTGGCCAGTGAGAGCACATTTTCTATAAAAGAATGATACATTTTAGTTTTTTTAAAAATTAAAGGCGTTTTGCCCCTATTTCTGTACAAGCTGAAGACAACAAATATTTGAGAACCTACTATAGACCAGGCACTGTTCTAGATGCTGGGCTATCAAGATGAGAGAAATCAAGTCCCTCCCCTTTTGGGGTTAATATTCTGGTATAAGCTTAACAGCCTAAAATTAACAGTGGTCTAGAAATAGAAACTAAATGTTTTAAATATATGTCCAATCCTGTTTTCATGCTTGATAAGACTTGGTCTAAATCACTGTCTTTCCAAACTAATTTTTATGGTAACCCCGGGGAATAAATATTTTACACAGAAACCAAAGACATAGAACTATACATATTATATATAGGGTGTCCTAAAATATGTATACACATTTAAACAGTTGATAACTCAATTTTCACTCCTTTTCAGGTTTAACTGATTTGAAATAATTGGTGAAGCTTTGAACAAAGAAATTTATCCTAACTGCCACTAGACTTTTTTGGTGGGACACATAAAAGACAAAATTTATAATACAAAACTGGCAACAGTCAATGACTTGAGGGTAAACAAATCCAAACGAAATGATTCTTAATGTTTGTGATTTTTTGATGATTGTGATTCCATTGCTTCACATTATTAGTAGTACTTGAACCAGAATGGTCATCAGTTTGAAAATGGGCATTGATTAAAAAAAATTATTCACTTCTATAGATTCTTTTAAATTTTGAAAATGAACTGTATGTAAATAAACACTGACTTTATAATCATTCAAAGTGTGTATCATTTTTGGGGGACACCCTGTATGTATAACAAACAAAAATTCTACTTATAACCCACTAAAGCAGGGGTGGGGAATGTCCGATCCATGGGCCATATAAAGCCCAGGAAACATTTGGTGTGGCCCTGTCAAGACAACCACAGGCAGGACTCAAAATTCAATAAATCTAGGAGATTTTTCACAGCAACATCTATCAATCTAATCTATCTATCTATCTATCTATCTATCTATCTATCTATCTATCTATCTATCTATCTATCTACCTACCTAAGCAATCTATCTATCTATCTATCTATCTATCTATCTATCTATCTATCTATCTATCTATCTATCATCTATCTATCTACCTAAGCAATCTATCTATCTATCTATCTATCTATCTATCTATCTATCTATCTATCTATCTATCTATCTATCAACCTAAGCAACCAGCCAGTAGCTATGACGTTCACTGACCACCAGGGGGCAGATGCTCAACATAGGAGCTGGGGAGTGACAGCAACTTCGCAGAGTGCCCTCTCGCACACCAGAACCCCTTGGGGGATGTCAGACTGCTGGTTTCAGCCCAATCCCCGCAGGCCAGCCAAGGGACCCCACCAGTGCACGAATCTGTGCACCAGGCCTCTAGTACACTTTTGTAATTAAAAGGGCTCCTCTATGATTCTAATTTGAAATGCTATATCCCACATGGAGTCTTGTGCTTGAGCTGCACAGGCCCTAAATAGAAAACTGACAAGATATTTAACCACATTTAAAACTAGAAAAGCTAAATAACTCAACTAGTACAAATTTTAAAGCTCAGTATTTTCCACAAGACAAGGTTTTGAAAACATACTTTGGTCCTCCACATTCGACTGCAGAAGCTTTCACAAATCGAATAGGTTGTAATCCTACCGGTTCAATGCTTAGAGTATTGTTTTCCACAGCCTCCAAAACAGCTGAAGCCAACTTAAAAAAATAAAAAAAATAAGTATTAGACCTTATGCTGGCAGAAAATTATCAAATTTGTATTCTACAATCAACTTATTTTTAAAATTATTTCTCCAAGTTCCACTAGCTTGGCCTTAGCCAATTGGGGGGTAAGGGGAGATAAAACTACGTAACTTTGGTTTAAATTATTTTATACAATTCAAACGTTGTTATGAAAGGCAATTCAGTTATAGCTAAATAAGTTTTCTCATTATCTGGAAGAGGATTAAAGGAATTAATTCCAATCTCTGTTCAACCTTCCTCACAATTAACATCTACTGTTAATGCAACTTCAAAATGAATATTGTAATGCTTTATTTTGCTAAATATATGCAATTTTTAATATTGATCATTCATAACACAGCAACATATACTAATAATAGTTATGTACTTTTCTGAACATGCATTTATGTGTACAAGAGTCTATAAAAGAATTAACAGAATTATCAAATATTAAATGCCCAGATGGAGATGTTAGCAACTAATAAACAACAGAAGAAAAAGGCAATGAAACTCCCGTGTGGCAAAACTATTATTACTGAATGGCCTACCTAAAACCAGGCACAAAGCCACAATTAACAACGCATCTACATATCAAGAGTTTTACTGCTCATCTAAACATCTCTTTACAAGTAATGTTATCATTAAATCCTCTAAAGACTTAACATAAATAAGACTTTTAGGATTAACTATCTTAAAAACTGATTGGCATGATATTTACAAATACACCTTCCCCAAACAAATTAAAATTGTGATCTTATATGCGTATAGGGCCTTATATTTTTATTTTTATTTATTTTTAAATATATTTTATTGATTTTTTTACAGAGAGGAAGGGAGAGAAATAGAGAGCTAGAAACGTCGATTAGAGAGAAACATCGACCAGCTGCCTCCTGCACACCCCCCACCGGGGATGTGCCCGCAACCAATGTACATGCCCTTGACCGGAATCGAACCTGGGACCTTTCAGTCCGCAGACCGACGCTCTACCACTGAGCCAAACCTGTTTCGGCAGGGACTTATATTTTTAAAAAGTATTTGTCTATCTACCTCATTCACTCCATTTTATCCTCTAAACAACCCTATCCTATAGACAAGGAAGGCATTTTTTCCCACTTTAAAGATGAAGAAACTAAATATAGTTTTTATCTTATACAAATAAATTCAACGAATATCCTAGAGTATAGACGTTCCTTTACACTGAAGCCTGGACTGAGAATCAAGAATAAGCCCTACCCCAACACATATTCAATACTTCACTCCAATACAATACACATTGCAGTGTGAATGATCCTCCATCAAATAAGATGTTAAGCATTTGAATGCCAAGAAATTATGATCCTGATATGGAACAGGAAAAATGGTAAAACTTGACATTTTATAACTAATGTATATAAGAGTTATTAAAATATATAACGTGGTTTAATGAAAGGTACAGAAACAACTCTAATGCATTCCTATTAATTGTTTTTTTAATTACCTCACTTTTGGAGAATGTTAAACATGGAAAGATATCTTCCTGATAGATTTTGTCTAAAAAAGGACACGTTCTGTCCATTGTGGGCTCATCCTTCCAAGATCTGAATTCATTATACAGAGACAAGTCAGCCTAGCAAATAAAAAAATAAAAAACACACAAAATAACTTGTTAAAAAGAATAAATATAAAATTACTTTATAAACCAAAACCTATTTAAACATTACTGAAAAAGAAATGCTCTTCATTTAAAATAATAAATTGAACCATTCTTGATTAGTTATAATACTTGGTGGCAATTTTTCTTTTTTTAAAAATCCAAACTCCCAAATGACTAATTGGCCCTTTTCAATGTACCCATTATGGTATTTAGTGATGCTATCATTATCCCTCCAAAATATTAATGTGGAGCTCCTCTTAAGATACATGTGCACACTATTCTAAATATAAAAAATGATCACAAGTCTTTTTTTAAAAGAATAAAAAATTAATTTGGACTCTAGTTAATTAAATAAATTGTTTGAATAAAGTAAGACTGACTAAATTGCAAAACCAGAAGTTTGGGGTTAAAAATTATGCTAATTGTTCTAATAATACCTGAGAGCATTTCCAAAGGAATTTCCATAGTGTTTACTGTATAAGAGGCAAGACTAAAAGAAGTAAACATATAAGCGTCCTAAATTGACTAGCTTAAAATATAACATTTATTTAGATTTCTTTTTTTGGTATATGAATATCCAGGAACTACTAACTGAATCATCAAATCCAGATTGGCACTAGCCTTCCTATTCACTCTTCCCGATGTCCCTCTCTTTCCCTCCTCCCTTTTAACTAATTTTCTCCAAGTATTTTTTTCACTACAGATTTCCTAGTCTAGCTTAATAACACCTGTGAACACACAAAGCTGTACCTACCACCAGCCACCCAAGCAAAGTAGTGTCCCTCAGCCTCCTACAGCTCTGAGGTGCCCTTGACCAGAAGCACTGCACACTGTAAGTTAGGCACTGGCACACTTCTGACCTCTAGGAGTCAGAGGTGCTAGTGTCTACAGGAAAGTAACAAAAGGCTGAGCATATCCAACCTATCCTACAGACTTTCTTTAAGGTGGATAATGGCAATCTGTGAAATTTTTTCATCCCATTCCATAACTTCCTTGAATCAAAGCTAAAGGCAAAATAATAAAAATATTAGCACATGAGTAATACTTACATTTTCAAATTAATTTTCCTTGTCAAATTTACCCTTTAAGGGAGCTGTCGCCAACCTTTCGGACCTCACGGACCACTAGTGGTCCACAGACCACCGGTTGGCGACCGCTGCTTTAAGGGACATAAATGCCACAGCAGATTAGTGGTGCTCTAAGGAGAGATTATAGTTTAAAGGCAATAATGTAAACTATTTATTAAAAATGGACTCAATGCCAGGAACTATGGTAAACACTCATAAACATTTAATATTCTCAGCTACATGAGATAGATATTATGATCTCTGTTTTATAGAAAAGGAAACTGGGGCTTAGAGAGATAAAGTAAGTTGCATAAGATTACACAGCAAAGCACTAGTAAAAGTTCAAGTTCACATCTCAGTGACTGCCCCCAAAGCCTTGCATAGTCCATGTAAGTGCACCTCAATCACCATGATTTAAATGATGTGATTATCATGACTGAACGCTCTCACCACATTTTCTACAGAAACGTATGTTTTACTTCTTTTGGATTGCTATATCTTTTATTAAGATGTACACAGGTCAAATGTACACGTTTCCTTTGTCTAATGAAATTTTTGTATTCTAATGTTTTTATATGTTTTTCACAAAACATTAGGATACAGGATACTGTTGTGGGGTCGAACCCTGGGTTCAGAATAAGACCACCGGAGGTTGATGATTGATTAAAAAGCAGGCAAAGTTTTATTGAAATTAATACTGGCCAGGACAGTCGCAAGAGCACCACACGCAGGTGGACTCCACAGGACTGCACCGTTTCAGGGGTAGGCAGTTCCTTTTAAAGGTTCAAACCACAGGAATTTTCCTTTGTTCTAAATTCTAAATCCTAAAGACTACATTCTAAAGACTGGGGTCAGCCTACAGGGTCGCTGCTAATCACATCCTACTGGACATTGGAATGTGGCCCTATCTTGCGATAGCCGATAATACAGAAGCAGAGCTCAGAGGTTATCTATAGTTTCTACCTCTGAGGGATACTGAGTTAGTGGGAATTAATTTCCTGTGGTCCTGGTCCCAGGCAAGGGAAAACTGCCTTAGCCTCCAGGTCTCCACCTGAAAGCTAAGGTAAATAGCTTCTTTTTCCCGTGTTTAATCAGGTGCATGAGCCAAACTAGAAGGGGTAAAATTCAAACAGCAGTTTTTACCAAAGTATAGTTGCCACTATATTTCAGATACATCTAGAAAGCAAAAAAATATTATTTTGAAGTTATATATTGCCTATTCATATTTTAAGGAATTTCATAAACTAAAATCAAAACTTTAAAATATTCCATGACGAAACATTTCTATTTTGTCAGTATAAATGTCAGGAAAAAGGTTAAAATTACAAACACTGAGAAACTGTAGCCAAAATACAAGTTGTACTAAGCAATTAAAAATACTATTTAAATTAAAAGAAATTGAAATTATGACTTTAAAAAGTTCCTTAAAGGTTTAACAGAAACCAACATGAATTTTATATTGTGTTACAGTCAGATTTGACAAGTACTGAACTACTCTCTCATAGCATATTTTGATAACTAAACAAAATGTAATTCAATTAAAATATGTAACCACTTTGGTTATTCAGTTTAATAAAGTCCTGGCCTCCATGTAAACATTTAACTGAATGAGCACACATAGCTTCTTAAAGATTAATGTACTTGAATCCACCAATGTTAAATACAGCTTTTAAAAAGTGGTGGGGGGACAAGAAAAAGTAAGCCAAAGAACTTATATACTTACTAGGCCCCCAATGCACAGGTAGGGTCCCTCGGCCTGCCAGCGATTGGGACCAATAGAAGACCAACTGGGGCTGACAGGCCAGCCAGGGGGAGGAACCTCAAAAGGTTGGCCAGTGAGCCAGGGAGAGAGACTACAGGAGGTTGGTCAGCCGTAGGAGGTTGGCTGTGGGAGCACACTGACCACCAGGGGGCAGCTCCTGTATTAAGCTTTCTGCCCCTGGTGATCAGTGCGCGTCATAGCAACTGGTCAAGCGGTCGTAAAGATCGCTTCACTTTATATATATATATAGATAAGTGTAGACCATAGACACAGGCAATGGAGTAGTGAAGATCTGGGGTGGAGGGGGCTGGGAAGAGGGAGGTAAATGGGAAGAAATGGGAGATATCTGTAATACTATCAACAATGAGAAATATTTTCTTTAAAAAAGAAATGGAAGGGCTGCTCCATAAATTATTGATCAATCCCCTTGGAAATGCATTCTCATCACATGCAAGGATTAAGTAAAAAATATTTTACAATTATATAATTTTTACTCAAAACAGCTCAAAAATAATTTCACATTATCTCAGTTATCTTTACTTTTTTTTTTTTTTAATGATAAGGTTTCTATTAGTTCTATTTTTTGTTGCTTAATTATCTAAATTAACTATAGGACTTTAACTTCTCCCAGAATTTAAAAGCAACATACTGTTCTTCAAGAAATCACCTTATTTTCACATGTCTTACATTCCTTATTTTGTTAAAGTGCCCTATCACTGAATTTTAGCTAGCCAGATCACAAAAGCTACCCACTCTCCTTTATGCAAAACATGACAGTTTGCTCCTTAAATGAAATATTGAGATTAAAACACTTACCAAGTTTTCAGGAGGTACTCCAAGGTCAGCCAGGTAGAGAATGGAATTGAAGAATCCCTGAAAGCAGCCAACTCTAGATTAAGCCTCCCCCATCTTAATACTGCTAGAAAATTTTGCTGGCAAAAATCATAACTGACACCTCAGTGATGAGAATAAGTAAGTATCAATACAGTCAGAGGGAACAGTCCTTGACGAGTTACCTCTTTGCAGTCTTTTACAAATGGCTGTATCACATTGAGGTCCTGATGACTGCCACTCATAGCACTGCTTGTACTTTTATTTCTTGCATGCCCCCTTTTAAAAGGTGTCTTTCCACCTGGCAGAGGCTCCTGTGTTGGTGATGTTGGAGAACTGGACAATACAAGTGTCTTCAATGCAGCTACTTCAGCTTGAAGTACATCAATCTTGAAAAGAAATCAACATAATTTCATAACTAAATACAGTTAATGACAAAGGCAGCTAAAGGTTAGCAATTTTATTAAAACCCTTTCTTTTCAAAGATGAAATATAAGTTTCACCTGTATTTCCTGGGGATTAATAAAAGGAAAGGAAAGCTAAGTGTTCTTATGTTTCCACATGGTTTGTATTTAGCTGCTATTCACAATATCAAGTGATCTTTAAAGATTATCAAAATGTCTAACATTTATATCCCTGAAATAGTAAACTCTAATAACATTTCAGTGAATTAAGAAAACAAATATTAACTTTAAAACATGACCATATAATTCTTTTGATAATACTTGTGATTCACAAGCCTTTGAATCTTTTGGTTTTACTATGAATGGGCACCAAATGTTCATTATTAATCTACATAGTAGCTATTTTCTCCTTTACAGTTTCCTATAATTTCTCACATCCTCTAAAATGAGCACTACTTTACAATCAGAACAAAACGCAGAAACTGGTAAAGCATCTTTAAGGCAGTAATCACTAGGAATGGGAAAAAGGTCCAATGGTGGCAGCCAGGGCAGGGTCCTAAGAGTCCGAAGGCTGCAAAGGGTAACCAGAACCTGGTGCTTCTGAGTGCACAGATAGCCTCCCTCTTTACCCAGGACCAGACCTGGGGCTGTATCCCAAGACCCCAGAAGAACAGTCTGCTACTGCCAAGAAATATAATAAGCGGGTGGAAGACTATAAGTAGTACCCGGATGATGGCACAGGATATGGTGTCCACCCAAAGCCCCATGACCACTCACAGTACATGAGGGATCTATGGTGTGACTGGACCACCCAGACCTGAGACTGAACTGGGGTGAGCCGACTCACTGGGACTGAAATGTGTGGATCAAACCAAGTGGACATGGCCCTTAGGCCTGTTTCTTGGAATCTCATGTGTAAGCACCTCTTCAGCTTCATGGCCTTCATGCTATTCATGTCTTGGGTGGGAGAGATTTACCCCTCCTACCAGCAAGTGAGCCTAAGCAGTATTCTTATCATCTGTACCGAGAATGAGGGTGCGATCCCACATGGATCCTCAGCAGGTGGTTTGCTATGAAATCTGGGGAAATTCATGAGCTTTGTACCGCTAATTGACCCTTTCATTCCCAGAGATTGGACCTTAATGAAATCTCTAATAAAACAGTGCTGTAGTTAAAATAAAAAATAGTAATCACTAATTTCCTTACATTTTATTCTACTCCAAGCAGTAAAAACTTACTTTTCCTTGTGCTTCTTTTAGTTGTTTTTCTGCTGTTGCCTGCTTGACATTTGCTTCTCTCACCATCTTATGAGCTTCCTGAAAAAAGTTAACATCTCAAATTTTGGAAACTAAGTATTTAGCATTTATTTTCAAAAAATCTCTTAATAAGTGATTCAAGCAAAGATATACTACCAAAATTTAGCCTGAAACTAAGTACTCAATGTCAACTACTGAAATAACAGTTGTCAGCAGATAAACAAACTATTAGAAATTAGGAAGAGGTACCTTTTTAAGTACCTATTACCACTGAGGCAGCCAAGCTGAGGTCACTCCCTCTGATCCATGGTTGAATAAAGGACTGTGAATGTGATGAAGAAAATATCTGACCCGTATGTTAAACCCAACTTCTCTGAAGTTAGGTTTTTAAAACTTGATCTGTGTGTGTGTGTGTGTGTGTGTGTGTGTGTGTGTGTGTGTGTGTATGTGTGTGTGTGTTACAACAAAAACATACAGAAGGGACAAGTAATAATATTAAATCATCAATAGTGTTGCAATTTACAGAAATTAAGCTGAGAAACCATAGAGATTTCAATTTTAAAAATCCACAAATGATATGAAGTAATGACTTTGTACAGAGAAATCTAAAGAGATAAATCAGTTTAATATTTAATGGGGGTCTTAATTTTATAGTGCCACAAATAGGAAACTCCAGGTATTTAACTTTTATTCATATATTTCTTCATCAAACATTTATTCTCACCACCTCTGCATGAGGTTCCATTCTAGGTGCTCATAATATACTAGGAAAAATCAACTTCCCTGCTCTTAAAGACCTTACATCCTGATTTTGTTCTAATATTAAAATATCTGAGCAAGAATTCTGGGTATATTCTAAGTGAGGTATGAACTTTTATAGTTTTCTAAAAAAGAGAATGATATGACTGAACTTGTATTTCTAAAAGATTACAATCTTCTAAAAGATTGCGGTATGGAATAATCCCTATGAAGAATTAATGACAGACTGAAACAGTATATAGGGTGCTCAAGATAGTCCCCTGGGTTGTAGTTTAAGAACGCAGATTTGCAGTTTAGGGGAAAGAAGAGAGGGAGGAATGGGGATGGGAAGAAGGAAACTACTTTCAAGATATTTAATAAATGGTGTGACAATGACACCCTCACTAAATCTGTTTACTATCTAGTGGTGGAGTGGAAGAGGGGAAGTTCTCCACTTCAGAGTTTGACAGTGGTTCTCCTATTTGTTCATTTGCGTTTACAGTATTTTTGTTGTCTTGTCAATCCTCACCTAGAGATATTTTCCCACTGATTTTTAGAGAGAGTGGAAAAGAGAGGGAGAGAGAGAAACATCGATTGGTTGCCTCTTGCATGTGCCCTGACCAGGATTGGGGATCAAGCCTGCAACCAAGGTACATGCCCTGGACCAGAATGAGTCCAGGGCATGTACTCTATCCACTGCAGTTGCAGGCCGATGCTCTATCCACTGAACCAAGACTGAGTAGGGCTCTTTTACAGTATTATAGTGAATTGCGGTTTTACAGCATTGTAGGGAATTGCAGTGCCCATGAACATGAATTTACATATTAAATAAAAGAAGCTTTACTATCAAAGTTTTATAATGAGATGAAATTAACTGTGAAAATCTCCCATTAACAACTGTGCTAGTTATTTTGTGTCAAAGTCCTCAAGAGCTATCAAATTTAATAATGAAGTAAGCATTTTTCCTGTGAAAATAAAAAAATGTTTCAGATTTGCTCAATTTTTCTGAAATGATAAGTAGCTGTCAAATAGAACTGATGGCAAATATTTTCAAAGTAATACTCGTATTTAAGCTGACTCTTCAATAGTGACATTTTAACTATAAATATAGAGTAACTCATGCTATAGAGAGAATGTTTGTTTAAATGTTTAAAAATAAAGAGACTCTGCTTTCACTAATAGTAAACTATGCAACTTGGACAAACCTCCCATGGGGGAACTATTAAAAGAGCTGAACAGTTGTTTTAATGTGTTTGAAGGCATTAGAGAACAAATAAAACAATAGAGGACTCGGGGACCAAGATCCAACAGAAGATGTAAACCCAGAAAAGTGAGCTGGAATTAGGGGTGACTTTTCCCCTTAAGATATAAAGGACACAGTGAAAAGATACAGCACACATGTAACTGAAGTCGCAGAAGGAAAGAAAAGAGAGCTAGAATGAGGGAACGCTATCTCTAAAAAAGTACCACATAGGACAAAAAACATCTGGTTTGGCTCATTGGGTAGATTATCGGCCCACAGATTGAGGGGTCCCTGGTTTGATTCCAGTCAAGGGCTCATACTTCAATTGCAGACTCCATCCCCATCCCAGTAGGGGTGAATGCAGGAGGCAACCAATCAATGTCTTTCTCTCCACCCTCCTCCTGCCTTCGCCTCTCTCTAAAAATCAATGGAAAAATAGCCTCAGGTAAAAATTTAATAAATAAATAAATTTTTAAAGTTTGAAGTTTTTCTTATCACTTCATCACTCTGTAGCTGAAAAGTGACAGAAGTGCCAGAAGTCAGCAAACTTGTTCTGTAAGAGCCAGTTAGTAAATTTGGCTTTGTGAGCCATATAGGCTGTTGCAACTATTCAATTCTGCTGTTGCAATGTGAAAGCAGCCACAGACAATAAATACAGAACAAACGAGTGTGGCCATTTCAATAAAAATATATGGGCACTAAAATTTGTATTTCATATAGTTTTCATATGTCACAAAATATTCTTCTTTTGATCCCCTGCAAACCTTTAAAAATGTAAAAACTACACTAACTGGTTTGGCTCGGTGGATAGAATATCAGCCTGCATACTGAAGGTCCCACGTTCAATTCTGGTCAAGGGCATGTACCTTGGTTGTGGGCACATCCCCAGTAGGAGGCATGTAGGAGGCAGCTGATCAATGTTTCTCTCTCATTGGTTTTTCTAACTCTCTAACCGTCTCCCTTCCTCTCTGTAAAAATAAATAAATAAATAAATAAATAAATAAATAAATAAATAAATAAATAAATAAATAAATAAAATATATTTTAAATAAAATAAATAAAAAAATGTAAAAACCAATCTTAGCTCAATGCTGTACAGAAGTAGACATAAACTAGTTTTACCTTGCAGGAAGTAGTTGGCATACCTCTATTCTATGTAGACATTCAAATCTTTATACTTACAAACTTTGAAAAGAGAATTTTTAACCTAATTCTCCTCAAAGTACAAATTAATCTTCTGATTAGTTTGCAAAAACAATTTTTTGTTATTAGAGAAAACAGAAATTCAGTCAATTCAGTAGAGACTTTTTGGTAAAACCTTTATGTAACTGACAATGGAAATGAAATTTTAGTATAATTATTTAAAACAGGGAAAAGATATACTTCTTCCATTTGGGTCAATATGTTAGTTATCAGCAACATTAAATATAATTTTGTAAAAAACAAAACACAAAAAAAACAACATTTAGAACAGAACTTAATTTGGATAACAAATTGTTAATACAAGATTTTAAAAAATAAGGTAACATATTCAATCACACTCTTCTCACTAAATACAGGAGTGAGCAAAAGTAGGTTTGCAGTTATAGTATGCAAGTCACAGTTTTTTTTCTTGTACTATCATTTAATAATTAATGCATTCTTTTCCATAAAAACTATAAATCTGCTTTTGCTCAATCCTGTGAGCAAATGCACACATATACACAGTATGTTTTAGTGAGAAGAAAATATATTGTACTACAGTATTATAAAAAAACTCCACACATTTTTATTCTTACTCTTTTCAAAATTATTGCTTTATAATATATGTAACACATTATTATGACAGTTAGTGTATGCATATAATTTATAAGTTCATATGCTCTTAGAACAGTGCCTAGCACACAGGGACCACTCAGTAAATATCAAGTATCTTCATCATAATTAAGGTACATGCTCACTTTTTTTTATAGATCAGGTTCATGAACAAAAAGTTTGGTACTATATACCGATCTAGGTAAGAAACGATGGTGGCTAGGAAGATGGTGACAGCAGATTCAAAATAGAAAGGCAGACAGGTTATTTCATGTGATCCAGGTACTGTCACAGGACCTTTTGGAGTTTCAGTGTAGGATGAAGAGGGCCTCAGTGATGACTCCTTTTCTGTGGCTTGAGATAAAAGAATTGCTGATTTTCATAGTTCTCAAGGCAAGAGTCGAGGTCATGAATTTGAGTCCCAGCACTGCTCCTTATCTATGTCTCATTTTCTTCACAGATTAAAATAATTTGTACTCTATGCCTCATAGCATTATGGAAAGAAAACCAGATATAGCACAAAAATTTACTAAAATTGGCTAACAAAATACTTTTAAAATCTTAAGATTACCTATGTTAAATGTAGACTACTTTGTACAGCATTCTTTCACTGGAATTCATTTTATCTCTAAATCTGAGATACCAGAAGAAAAAAAAAATATATGTAACTTTAAAGTCTTCGATTTGATACTTTTAAGACTCAACTTTGCTACATACAAAGCATAATTATATTCAAGATTATTTGTTCATAATACATTAATAAACTCCTAATTTGAATGTACATGGTAAATTTATCAAAACTGTACAAATTGATTTTATTCAGAATAATCTTTAATTCTTAAAACTATACATGTATATCATAAAATGTAAGCAAATATTCTTTTCATAAGACAATGGTATATTGAGATCACAATTAAGACCAGAGAAAAACTTAAAGCATTGTTTTCAAAATTCATAAATAATTGGTTTAAACACAACTTTCTTCATTACCAAAATCATGTTTAATCACAGTAATTTCTTTCCCAAAAAGTTTAGTGTCAATGAAGGTTAGGAACTCCAAAACTATGTTTTTTAGATATACTTTTTCATTAATAGCACAAACTGCATTTCTGTTACTTCACATCCCATTACAGAGAGGAAAAAGTTTCTTTCTGCTAGTTTACTTCTATTTCATCTAAGAGAATATATATGTAAGTACAGAAGGGTGGAGCTACGCATGGCTAAAAGTAGGACAGGCAGGTAAGAAATCAAAATTAATATAACTAGTAGAACACACTTGCTTTCTTCTCTAGTATCCATATCATTACAAAATTTTTTTTTGCCAGACAATATTGGAAGAAAAAATCTTATGTTTCTGTATACCCCTTGTACATATACAATGTAACAGGTCACACAGCTCCTCACAATTAAGACCAGAGAAAAACTTAAAGCACTGTTTTCAAAATTCATAAATAATTGGTTTAAATTATTTATGAATTTTTACAGTCCTATTTCAGATCTTTAACTTTCCACTCTCCTCCACCTTAAATTTCTCTTTCTCTCATCTCCAATGACTAGTTAACTAAATAAAATAAATTAGTTTTTAAATGTTCATGAAAGAAAATAACTCCAAAAAGACAAGGACAAATAAGAGGGCAAACAAGTGTGGAAACCAGAAGGCGCATGGGAAAGCGCACATGTCTGAAGATATCCACTGCAACGAAAGAAACTGTGGAATATGTATTTGATAGATTATCCTTTCAGTACACTAACTATGCAGTAGCATGAAAAGGGTTTTATTTGGGGGGGGGGGGGGGGAAACAACCTACAAAATGTATTAGTATTGCAACTATGTGAGCAAACATGCATATCCAACACTGAAACAGATGCTGTATAAATACAAATAAAGGGTGAAGAAATTTTCCCCCTAAAATCTTGTATAAGTTTTAAGAACTAATTTTTGAGAAAAAAAAATATTGATAGGTGATAACACCATTAGGTATTCTCATAACATATCAATGTTTTTGATAAGGGATTTTCTGGAGGCTAACCTAAAGGAGGCATCCATGGAAGTGATTCTGAACAGAAAGGAAGTACTATTTTCTACTCACCCCTCATGGATATTTATAAGTTGTCAAAATGATCAGGGAGTATTTCTAGCATTTTTGGGACAAAGCCAAGTATGATGGTTAATTTTGTATGTCAAGTTGACTGGGCCACAGGGTATGCCCAGATATTTGGTCAAGCATTATTCTGGGTGTTTCTGGATGAGATGGATATTTAAATCAGATGACTAAGCAAAACAGACTGCCCTCCATAATGTGGGTGGGCCTCATCCAATCAGTAGAAGACCTGAATAGAGCAAAAATCTGATCCCCACAGAATAAGAGAAAATTCTTGCCTTCAGACTTGAATTGAATTCTTGCCTTCAGACCTGAATCCTTGCCTTCAGACCTGAATCTTCCTGGGTCTTGAGGCTTTGGACTTAGATTGGAACTACACCATCAGCTGTCCCAGGCCTCTAGCCTGCCAAATCACCCTGCATAACTTGGGACTTACCATCCTCCATAATCACATGAGCCAATTCCTTATATAAGCCTCTTTCTGTATATATGTATATTCCTGTATACATATATACCGAAATGGTTAAACATTTTGGTCCCAAGTGGTAGTCTAGAGACAAAAAGGTGTACCTTCTAAGAAGTATGTATGACCTAACATTCCACAAATTATCCAATATCAGATATACATCAAAGGTTTGCCATCTTTGTTGTGGAGTCATGCAGTTACTCTAAAGCAGTCCCTAAGTATTTGGTGAAAATAAAAATTAAATTTACCTCCTTTCTTTCCACATATTCATATTTAAACAACCTGATACTGGTAGCCCATAGAGTTTTTTTCGTTTCACAGCGTTTTAAGTTGCAGTCTCTACATTTCTTAAAAATTTTATTTTTTCTTAGAAGACTTATAAATATGTATAAAGTTAAGCATATTTTTCCTTAAGATTTCCTCAAAAAACAACTCTATCAATATATAAAAATCATGACTTTGCTTTTGGCCAAGATGTAAATAGACCAACCTCAAACAGACTAGCTGTGAGTTCCTCCAATTCCTGTCCAAGTTGATCACGTACTTTAGAAAGCCTCTCACACTCTTCATCTTTTAACTTCAGTTCCTGTGAGAAATTGATCATTTTATTTTGGATTTCCATAGTTTTAAGTCAGATTCAGCAGACTATATAACCTTTACTAATAAGATTACAAAATATTAATACTGTCCCCTCCTATTATATGCACACTAAAAATGTTTATTTAGCACTTGCTATGTGGAAGACAATGAGGCAAATCTAAAATTACAAATAATTCTAACTCACATATTAAATTTTCATGTTTCATAAAACATACAAAGATTAAATAGTATATATTATGTGTGAAAATAAACAAGTGATTTCATTCTTTTTTCTTTTAATTTTTCTCTGAACATATATATTTCCATCAAGCAAGCAATTTCTTCAACTATGCTTATTCAATGAAAGTTCAACAGGTTTTTTGCCCATTTTTGCTTTAAAAATTGTTTACTTATAATTTTATGTAATATACTGCAATTGCTCTAAATATTAATTCACTACAATAAAAGGCAAATGATGCATATTTAAAATCAAGAAAAATGTTAACAACAAAAATCACATCTTACATTTATACATACCTCCCAGTAGGTCACAAAAAATTTTAGAAAATTTCTATATTAACATGTTACAATATGCCTGTCAGATAACTGTGAGATCTATTGGGATGATCAGTAAGTTCTATAATATCTAACCCAGCGGTTGCCAACCTTTCGGATCTCATGGACCACCAGTGGCAACCGCTGGTCTGATCACTGGGGTCTATACATGCAACTAGTATAATACTGTATATCAACTATAATTGAAAAAATAAAACTGATGTAAATGTAAAACATTTTAAGATGTTACTAATATGCAATTTTATGTTGCCCTAAATTAATAATTCAAATTTAGATATTAAAAAAAAAATCCAAGCTCCTTATATATTGGTCACAATTGAACTAATAAATAAGGACTTAGTTGTGTAATTATTGTGGTGGCAGCATAGTTTTTGAATCTCCCAAGAACTCTGAAAGCTAAATATACCACTGGGATATCAGAAAAACCCAATGGTTACATCTTTAATAAAAGTAGGTAAAAGAGAATCCCCTCAAAGCTTACTAGTAGACTATGAGGGAAGGTGGCTGCACTGCTAACACTGCAGGATCAGCAACTCTGTGAAAGGGAGCAACAGGAAGTGGGTGAATGGGAATACAGAGGCACCCTGCAAAATCCCAGAACCCAGAAAATCATTGTAATCCCCCAAAGCAGAGGACTCTGCCATTGGTGGAAACTGGAAGAACAGAATGAGAACAAATGGGGAAAAGGAAAAAGTTTTCTCAGGCTCCATATTGCAGGTGAGTGCACAAATCTGTCCTGAGGCAGTCAACAGTCTTACTGTGAAACTCTAAACTCTAAGCTCTCTCAAAGCATCCAGCAGAGAAACCCTCCCAGGACAGAGCGCCACACTCACGCTAAGGGAAAAACTCATGTAATCTGAAACCAAACTGTAGGGCAGGAATAATGGAGATAGAGAGAAGTTTCAGATATTAAAGGAGGAAGGTGAGAGCAAAGTTCCAAAGGAAACAGATCACAGAAAACACTATGAAAATATATCTTATGGCGTAATGTTAAGCCTGCAAAGCTCACAGAGACACTGGGCTAGAGGAGAAACCTTGAGTAAGGCTTACCTCTGAGAGAAGTGGCTACACACATACACCAATAACAATAGAAGGGAAAGCCCTGAACGTAAATCTGAGAAAGTTATAGTGGTTTATCCTACTGCTTCACAGGAATCTCCTTCCCACATTACAGGAAAATCCAATTCATTGAAACATGAAAAACCAACAAAAATCTGTGAAGTTCTCATAATAAAAAAAAGTTAAACACAAAGCCAAGTCACCTAAATGGGAAAGAAAATTAAACATCAACAGCATTTTACTAGTATATTAGAAAACAATGCAGTAATATTTTTAAGTACTAAAAAAAAGTGAGATGAAGATTTAATTTTTAATGTGCTTTTTTTATTGATTAGAGAGAGAGAAGAAAGGAAAGGGAGAGAAAGATAGAAACATTAATGAGCGTAAAGCATTGATTGGCTGCCTCCTGCACGCCCCCTGCAACCTGGGCATGTGTCCTGACTGGAAATCGAACCAGAGACTTCCTGGTGCATGGAATGATGCTCAATCCACTGAGCCACACCACCAGGCAAGATGATTTTAAATCCAGTCAAAGTGTCCTTCAAGTGTAATGTCAGAGACAAAGAGTTATAAACCTGTAAAACTTTACAATATATCTCTCTCAGAGCATGCCTGAGTGGTCAAGTGGAGAATGAGTTTCAGATAATCAAGAAAAAAAATGAAGATTTAATGTTCAAGACTGAGGATAAGAAGCAAATATACTTAATTATAGAACTACAACTAAAAGATGAGGATGTCAAGAGAATGAAAACATCAGAAAATATCTGCAAAAGTCATATCTGATAAAGATGTTTGTCCAAAATATACAAAAAATTATTAAAACTCAATCTTAATAAACAATCACTTTGAGGCTCACAAATCAATTAGTATAAACCTAAACATATTTAACACCATAGAGATTAACATTATTTTAACTACAATTTAATTATACAGGAAAAAGAAACAGTAAGTAGATAATTTTAGTATTTTTCAAAGTAGGGAACAAAGGCAATAGCTAAGGAGATATTTATATCTTCAATTAAAGGTAACAACCACAATAGAAATCAAAACTTCTAAAATACCAAAAAGAAAAAGAGAAGGAGGAGGTCACACACACACACAAAAAAAAATAGAGCATATAGTGAAAAGACATTTGAAAACCAAGTAACAGAAACATGCCCAAATGTAGCACGTTTACCAATAAATGCAAATGGGCATAATTCAAATAAAATTATATTCAGACTAGAGGCTCGGTGCACAACATTCATGCACTAGGGGATAAGGGAGTGTCACTCAGCCTGGCCTGCACCCTTTAGCAGACCAGGAGCCCTCAGGGGATGTCCGACTGACAGCTTAGGCCTGCTTCCTCAGTGGGACATCTATAGCACCGTCACAGAGACAGGAGAGGCTCCCGCTACTGCCACTGTGCTCACCAGCCATCAGCCTGGCTTGTGGCTGAGTGGCGCGCCCCTTATGGGAGCACACTGCGTTGAGCATCTGTTCCCTGGTGGTCAGTGTGCATCATAGCAGCTGGTCATTCTGCCTCTTGGTCAATTTGCATATTACCCTTTTAATATATAGGATTAGCTAAAAAAGAAAAAATCTCTCTATTCTCTATACAAAAAATAAATATAGGTAAAACAAAGTGATTCAGACAAAAATATAAAGATATAAAAAGTATATATAATAAGAATATAATACAAAATAAAAACAAAAAAGAGGGCTATCAATCTTGCTAACAGACTAAGCAGAATACAGGTCAAAATCATTAGAGATAAAGAAAATTTCATAATACTAAAGACTACAATGCAAAATGAAAACTTTAAAATACTCCCAAATAAATAAATACTACTAAATATAGAAATAGACTTAAACAAACAGAAAGAAGGATATACTACATTCTTGAACAGAAAAATATCATAACAGTGCCAATTTTCCCTGAGTTAATTTATAAATCTGTTAATGCATAAATTTAATATTAGGTTCTTTTAAACTCTAAAATTTTATTATTTTCTAAGTATATATATGAAAACTAAGTCAATTCACTCAACATTTCCTACTAGGTAGGTACTATGGTACTCCTTCAGAATACAAAATCAAGTAAGATACTACCGCTTGAGAAGCTTTCAATCTATTAGAGCAATACATATGTCATCCATGAAAGCAAAACTGTTGAATCATTTCCTAGTCTACTAAAGTGGATAAATCTCACCCTAATAATAAAGACCTTTACATGTGCTCAATTTCCCTTCTCAGAGTTATTTCCCTTGGTCTACACAGTAAAGCTAGAACTAAATTGATCTGATTCATACCTTATTATTATTGTTGACAGCATCACAGATGTACCCCATTTGCTCTCCCTGCACTCTCATCCATCCCCAGCCCCTGCCCCATCCCAGGCCTTCACCACAGTAATGTGTGTGTCCATAGGCTATTCATATCTATCTATGTAAAAGCCTAAGTGACCATCGCAACCAAACAGGCTGCGTGGGGCAATCAGGCTGGCAGGGGGGTTAGTGAGGGGCAACCAAATGACCGAGTAGCGGTTTGCATGGGGCAATCAGGCTGGCAGGGGGAGCAGTGAGGGGTGATCCAGTGACCAAACAGCAGGCTGCGCAGGGCAAGACGGTTGGGGGCGATCAGGTCAACAGGCAGAGATAGTAGTTGGGGTGATCAGGCTGGCGGAGGGCAATTACAAGCAGTCAGGCAGGCAGGAAGGTGAGCAGTTAGGAGCCAGTGGTCCAGGATTGTAAGAGGGATGTCCTGGATTGAAGAGGGTGCATGCTGGGCTGAGGAGACCCTCCCCCACCTCCATGCATGAATTTTGTGTACTGGGCCTCTAGTATACATATAAGTTCTTTAGTTAATCTCTTCATATCTCACCATACCCTCTCCTTCTGAGCTCTCTCAGTCTGTTCCATGATCCTTGCCTCTGGAGCTATTTTGTTCATCAGTTTATGTTCATTAGACTCTACATATAAGTAAGATCATGTGATATTTGTCTTTCTCTGACTGACTTATTTCACTTAGCGTATTCTCCAGGTCCATCCATGCTGTCACTTAGCATAATATTTTCCAGGTCCATCCATGCTGTCTTAAAGGGTAATCAATTCTTTTTTACAGCTGCATAGTATTCCACTGTGTAAATGTACCACATCTTTTTATCTATTCATCTACTGATGAGCACCTGAGCTGTTTCCAGTTCTTAGCTATAGTAAATAGCACTGCTTTGAACATTTTTGGATGAATTCTCAGAAGTGGAATCACTGAGTCAAACAGCAGTTTCATTTTTAATTTTTTTGAGTAAATTTCATACTATTCTCTATAGTGGCTGCACCAATCTGCATTCCCACCAGCAATGTACTAGGGTTCCAGTTTCTCCACATCCTCGCC